TTTTGTGACTGTATAGCTAATCCATACAGTTTGAAAGAAGTGTGAATGCAATTGGCTTTTGTGGGATATGCGAAACAGGATTTACTCGTCATTATTACTTGTTAGTGCAAGTGAGTGAACATCAAAAAATATATTTTTAGGTGTAATTTTATGTTCTTCTTTTTATATTTTTCATATTTCTAATACCAAAAAAATTAATTCGTAGTACATCTTCAATATTTGAAACAAACATAAAGTTTGAATTTAAATTTATTGTTAAAAAAAATTTGCTTGTTCTGCTAGAGTGTAGAGAAAAGTAAAGTAAACCATAATGACAATTAAATAACCCATGTACATACATAAGTAAACCGCTCTACCAAATAATTTAGCTTCTTAATCAATACATACTACAACTACTCCCGAAAAATGATTCATACATACAGGGTGATCCAAAAAACTATACAACAGATATACTACTCGTTAGAGGGTCAAAAGTAGGTAAAACGTTTGTTGTGGACAAGATGCCGAATCTGAAGGGTTTCCGAGTTGCAAGTATTTTAACAAATTTTCATCAATTCTCTACTTGTTCAAGTTTTGTTAACGATGTACATAGAAACATAAATCTATAATATGTGATGTAATATTTTACTTTGTGTAATCAGTCTAAAAAATTCCCAATTACCTATTAAAAGCAGAAGTATTACTTAATCGAAAAATCTTATGTGCGTACTAACAAAAATATTAAACATAAGTATATTAATCACCCGAATGACACAATAACAATATTTTAGCCATCGCATCCATTGGCTGTTAACATGAGTTACTCATACTAAACCAATTTTTATAATTAAAAACATACATAAACAAACACAGTACACTTACGCGATGCGATCACCTTACACTATCGCTCATAAATGAAACTGAAAAAATAAAAATAATAAAAAAATAAATAGGTAGTTCATTATTCTCTACATTCAAATTAATTTTGGTGAATTAATTTATATTAGAAAAATGTTAAAAAATTAAATTAACTCACCACTAACCAAAGCACCTTTGCTTTACTCCCCATAGCACCTCTATTCGCGTGTAGTTTGGAATTAAGAAATTTTAAATAATATGATCGGAAATAAACAAAAAAAAATCGAAAACAATTAAAATATAAAAAAAAAGCTCCACCTACTTGAAAATGTTTAAGAAATAAATTTAGAAACAAAGAAAAGTAGGTGGAGTGACAAAGTGCTCTTAGTCAGAGGAGAGAAGTATAATAGAAATCGAGAAAAGGTATAAGTTTCCCAAAATATTTCGATTTTCACTTTGAATTTGAATATTAAAATGATTGTGAATTATTAGTTGTCAGTGTAAATGTGTATTTGTGTAACAATTGATCGCACATACTTATGTACATACATTTATATATGAAAGCATATTAAGTTATTTTACTTTTTTTTTTAATTTAACATTAACGTATATTTAAATTCAATTACGCCTTTTACTTGCAGCACTTATTTCTCTCATCTAAATTGCAAGTTTGAATTGTTGTGGTACATTTTACTTGTTTTTTAGACACATTTGTATACATATAGGTATGCAAGTTAAATTTAATATTAATACTTGAAGTCACGTGGTCGTGCTTTATACAATATCCCAATTTCTATTTACAATACAAACTAATATCGACGTGATATTGATAAATACAATTTGATTTTTCAAGTATAATGTTCCCATAAGACGGAACCATATTGGCTCATTGGTCAAAAGTTATTACATTTTTATGTAGAGTCAAGTTTCCAACTCTACAAGGCCTAAAATTTATAGAGTTTGTGAATTTACCACTTTACATCTTATTCAACATTAAGTCCCTTAACATTTTATTCAAGCAATTATTAAAATTTTTAACTTGTTACAGTTAGAAACGAGAATAGGTAGGTACTGTTTAGCATGAGCTCTGGTCTCTTTAAGCTTCAATTTCACATAACTTTTACTAATAGATACGCAGAATAAGTTTTATTAGTAAATAGAGTTTTTTTGATCATTGTAAACCAACCGTTGTATCTTTTACTCCAAACTGTTACCTACATTTGCATAATATGGTTAACATATGCTCATACATACTAAATACTTAACATACATACTGTTCCATATTCCCACCCAGATACTCCACTTGTATTTTGTGAATACAAAAAAAACTCATCAATTTGATATACATATAAATTTTAATTTCAAATTGTTCTAAAAATTTGAACTAATTATTCAACATATCAACTACTAAATATTGCAGATACATAATATACATGTACATACATATGTACTAAACATATAAATTTTTTTTCGGACTTAAATGTGAAACTTAATCAGAAAACATATGTACATATACATACATATATTACAAGTTTTGCCTATTTGAAATTTTTCACAACAAAAATTTAAATCACCTTCTATTCATAATTCGTATTTTAAAGATTTCATCACAAAATTCTGTTTATAATATAGTAGCAAAATTGCTTCCAAAATTAATGCATATCCAGAAATTTAATTAAAGTTAAAAAAAAATTTACAATTTTAATTAATGTACAGTAATAAATAATTTTTTTTTTCAAATTTAAGTACTAAAATTTAAGTGCTCTTAAGGTGTACGATACGATTTTATATACATATGTATGTATGTACATACATATATGTATATGTTGTTCTCCCTTATACATATGTATTTCCGTCACAAAAAATTTTGAATTCAGTTTTAGTATCGGACTAAGTACCTATACCTTAGTTGTAATAATATATGTACATATTTCATTTTATTCACCACTTTCTGTTATCGTAATGTCAAATCAAATAATGATTTAAATTAAAAAAATTGTATTAATAAATAATGGCATAATATATTTTTTTAATTTGTAGTTTATTTTGAGATTTTAAATGATTTACAAACATACATAAAAATAATTTTCTTCAATTGTTATGTTATATGCATGTTTTCTTTAACTGTAAAAATTAAAACTAAAAATTAACCGCATTTTGAGAATTATGTAGTTTTGTAGTTTAAATATGTAGAATCGTTAACAGAAAATGTTAATAAATGTGTTGAGTAACTGTGAAGTACATATATTTTGTTCGAGTTGCCTGTTAATAATTCAACATAATTTTACCCAACGAACACTTAAGAAAAAATACTTGGAATGTGTGACATTATACAAATCCTACAGTCTCTCACACAAGTACAACACAGAAAAGGTGAATTCGCGTTTTGTTTGTGTTTATTACTTTGGTGTTTGAATCTCGTCTTTTTGCTTATTCGTTATATTTTCACCTCAAAATTTTCAATATACAGTTGTACATATTTAATTTAAGTATATCGAGGAATATACTTTCATCATTTTGTTTCATTTTATATACAATCATACATACAATATCAAATACATGCATATGAATGAAAATTAAATGTGGCCATTGATGCAAAAGTGTGTGTATTTATATATTTGCATATGTACATATGTATACATGCATGTATCATCTTAAAATGTTGAACATTTGCTTTATTATTGTTTTGAAATGTTTATAAATATGAAATGAGTATAAAAAGTTTTACATGTGACTGATGTTGTTTTTTTTTTGCTACCACTATACTTCTTCCCCTGTTATATACACAACAAAACAATTTTTGTATCTTATATTACCTACATACAGTTATTCAATATTTTACAAACATAACAGTATTTTCTATAGGTATAACATTATGTATGTATGTACAATCAGGCTAGACTTTTTCGTATTTAACATTTTGAATATATTTTCAACGTTTTTTTCCCTTTTCACTATTTTTTGTATTCTTATAATTTTTTTTTGAATTAAGTATGTATATAAAATATTGGTATATATATGAATACATAATATGCATGCATATGTATTATAAATTTATGTAGGTAAATTATATACGTACATACTTTTTTTCTCTACACTACACTTCACTTATTTATTCCATTAAAAAATTTTGAATGTGAATTTTGTGTCTTTTGTTATTCTTCTTGTTCTGAGGTTTTTTTTCCCTTGTTTTTAGAAAAAAAATCTTTTTAGTGATACAAAAATTTTAGTAGCGACAAGAACGTCGCCGTGCTAACAACAAAATTTCGGTGGAATAATGTTTATTTTAAGAGTAGAACAAAATAGAAAAACAATAATAAGAAAAATACAATAGAGTAGTAAATTATAGTAAACAATGAAACAAAAAATCAGTGGTTTTACAATGACAGAAGGTGACAAAAATAATTAAACTAAAACTAAAAATTATTGTGAATGTGTATGTGTATAAAAGAAGCATAAAGGAAAACAATGCAAAATTAAAAAAGAATTTTCATTTCAAGATTTAAAGAAAAATATTTGAAAAAATAAATAATTAAATCGGATTAAAAGACAAATAAAATAAAAGAGTTTTAATAACAAGAAAAATTAAATTAAATGAATGAAATTTAAATATTAAGGAAGAAACTTTGGCATTCTAATGAAATTTGTATTACCAACAACTGCACCCTATAATACATATGTAGATAGCTAATAATATCTAAACAAAAAACATACATCGGTACATAATCCTATATAATTTATATAAATACAAATATTTGTACATATACATAGGTAAATGCAATTACCTAATGGGCTTAATTGAAATAAATTGGAATTTACCTGTAGTTTTTTTCCAATTAGCAGACATCCATATATAAACTTATTTACAATTGTATTAAGTGTAGTAAATAAAGTGAATATAATGACATATGTACATGTATGCATATAAACTTGTATGAATTAAATTTTAACAATTTTAGATACCAAAAATACTTATGAAATATGAAACAGCAATAATTACCAATTGAAAAAAGAATTTACAACCCGGTTCTTTTTCTCTATTTGTTATTTTAGAACCTATGTTTTCTTACCTATACAATTAATTAAAAATAATTACCTACCTAGCTACATACATATGTACATGTATTACTTAAAAAAAATATTGAGATTAAAACCAAATTTCTTAACTAAATTTTATAATTACTAAAATTACTAAAAACTGAAAATAAAAAACCATTTATTGAAACCAAAACAAATACATAAAAAAAATAATTTCAATTCAACGTGTAGGTGCCTTGCCTACCTTTATTTACCTATAATTTTTGCTTATTTTTTTATCTCTTACCTTTACTATACATGTACAATTCTAAGGTTACACCCAATATTTTATTATAAAACGTGCATACCTACACCTATACAATAAAAAGTGAAAAATATAAGGTAAAAACGAAAAAACGGTAAAAAAATTAAATTGTAACAAATAGAAATACCTATAATACACATGAATACAAACATAATGCAATAATCAAAAAGGTATGTGCGAGAATAATATGAGAAAAATTATGTAATTAAACGGTTATAATAAAAGAAACTGTTAAACAAGTTTGGTGTAAAAAAATGAAAAATTTTTAATAAAATATTAATAAAGAGGAATCTTGTGTCAGATAAACCAATTAATTATACTTACTTAATACCAAAACTTTTAAATGCAATAATGAATATTCTTCAACACTGTTAAAACAAGGTACATTTGTATGTTAATATTTAAATAAGTAATGTAATAAGTAAATAAAACAATTAAAAATCACTACCCTTTCCTTTCATTCATTTCTGTATTTGTCTCATTATTGAATTTCTAAATAATTACTAAAATGAAAAGTGAAAAATAAAATTAAAAAATTGAAATGACAACGAAATAAAATTTAAATAAAAATTTTACAATTTCAATATAGCTACTTAAAAAAAAAGTGAAAAGATTTTTTTGATAAAAATTTAATTTAAAAACAAAATGTTTCAAGAATTTAAAACGAAAGTCAAAAAGTCACACGCAATTTTAAATCCGAAGACAACAAATATTACAAGTGCTTAATTTTCAATCTAGTAACTTAAAAATGAAAAATTTACAAAAAAAAAGTTGATTATTAAAAAAATTAAATATCACAAATTATTAAGTGAAGTTAAAATTCATCTTTAAATAGAAAAAAATTCTAATTAAAAAAATTATTTACAATTTTTATTTTATTTTCATTGAAATCAAAAAGAAATTAAAAATATTTTAAACTAATCATATAAAATCAAGAATACCATTCCAATGTTGTCTTGTTTAGTGCCACCCCGTTTTGGACAAGAGGACAAAATTACTATGCCATCATCAGCAGCTGCATTTTCATTGCAATGTAAGTACCTACCTTAATACCTAAAAATAATATTTTCAATTAAACAAACAAGTACGAGTGCTAAAGCACTTATGTATTATGTACTCAAAATTAATTTTTAAATATTTATTTTAGAAAATAACTTAGTTTTGCTTAGTTACCTATATAAGTACTAGTATTTACTTAGTAATGTTACTCATGTTTTCAATAAAGTTTTTTGACACGATTACTTCAAAATCATTCAAGTACTTAAATAGGAATTGGAAAATCTTTGCAAAAGCAGTTATTTAAATGAACACCAGGTGAAAATATTGAATTAAAAATTTATCCTGGTGACTTTTTTTAATATTAAAGTTCATTTCCAAATTCTTAATGTTCTGGAATAGAATTTATGCTTCAAATAAGTAAATTGATAACTAAGTATTTGTTGTTAATTTACTTAATGATTGAATTGCTTTATTAAACTTATAGAAACAACCTAAGTTGCATTGGAAGAATATAATCATTAATTACTTAATACTACATAAGAATCCTCTATTTATTCTCTATAAGAATCTTGAACTTATTTGGAATTTTAAAAAATGTTGTCTTATTTTAATTTCTAACTAATTACAAAATTTTGTAAGAGTTCGTGATTTGTACTTCTTCATTAAAATTATTTCTATCTGATCTATATAGCTTTGAATCTATATAACTTCTACACCTCATATACCTACATAAATATTGAAATTTCATCAAATAAATTTTTTATTTATTAATCAAAATTTTCAATAATTTTTGTTGACGCCTTTAATTAAAATAAAAAAAAAATATTTTCATTTTTTTTCACTTTGTTTTTTAATTAAATTTTGTTTATTTTTCTTTATTATCAATTTCCACCTTATTTTTCGAAATGGTCGAACCCATAGCTATATACGAGCACCGATTAAAGTCAATGGTCAACCTCAGGTTGTTTTTTACTTTTGGGTTTGTTTTTTTTTTTTTTCAAAAATATTTTCAATTTGGAATTTTAAACCGCTTAATTGTAAAAATGATTAACATATCCGGTGAATTTATTAAAAAAATATTATTTTTTTTGTTTTTCTTCTAGATTTTTTTATGTTGTTTTTATTTAGTGGAATTTAATGTTTACATTTAAAAAAATTAGAAAAAAAAAGAGGGGGCGCACTGATAACAAATTAAAAAGAAATTTGACAAATCTTATGTGATCTTCTCATTTGCTTGTTTTTTTTTGTTAATTCTTAATATTAATGAATAAGTGTATCTGAAAGAATTTGAAACATGAGTTCACTAAACTGATATGGAAGAAAACGAATGTATAAATTGTTTTTTTTTTTTGTAATGAATTAATTGAGGGCGCATTATTAAATTTTAAATGATAAGTAACATTCATTCTTAAAAAAATTATTCTTACTTAGTTTATTAATTTTCATCTGTTAATATACGCAGCTTCGAACATATGTAGAAAGTGAAATACTTAAACAATGTAGTAATTTAGTAATTCGACCAAAGTTCCTTTGCTTTTTATTGAAAACATGTAGAATTTGATCTCTGCCTTTCATTATTTAATATAAACTGCACAGCAAAGCCAACAATTGCTATAGTTAAGTATTTATTAAATACTTAACAAATAAAATTTACAAAAGAACGAAAACTAATTTGGAATTTTTCGTCTATATTTTTGAACTATCTAGCGTTTTCTATTGTATAAAAACTTTTCACTTTCACTCACAAAAACTTTTTTCCTACTCAACTGTTCAAGAATATGCTCTTTAAACTTTTTGGAGTTTAATACACCTGCATCTACAAACATGTATAAAATCATAAAGTAAATGTATTGATATAAATGCACCTACATTAATTAAAATTTATTGATTTTACTTTAAAATTTGTTTACAAAATAATATAAAATACACACATGTATATGTATATATGTATATGTATGACTTTATATGAGCACATCTTTTTAATATGGAAAAATCATTCATTTTTTTATACTTCACGCACTATTTTAATTCAAAAATAAAAATTTCTTTTGAATTCAATCGCATTCAACGTAGCGAAAATAACTTTCAGCACGTGCGTTTACTTTGAATTTTACATTAAACGTTGAATTTCTTTTCAATATTTCTCAACCTTATCCCACAAACTCTATAATTATTTTTGAATATGCTTGCATAGTAAATTGTGGTGATTTCAATAAATTAGTTTTAATTTTCCAATTGATTTTTGATCATTATTGAGAAAAATACTTTTATTTTTTTATTTAAATTAAATTTTACTTTTTAATTGAATTTTGGTTTTCATTTTGCATTTTCATCTAACGTATTTGCATGAATTTAAAAATGGAAAGCGAAAACTAATTTGAAATAAGGTAATAGTATAAGAATCTAACAGTAATAAATTAAGTATAACAAATAATTATAACGACATGTACTTAAATAAAAGGTCTTAACAACGACAAAGACATTAACTTATAATTTTCGGTTCGCTTAAAATACAAGAAACAATTATCCTAAATTACTTATTTAACTAAAAAATATTAAAAATAAACGCTTGTTACAAATCTGTGGAACATTCAATTTTCTAAAATATTTAGCCCTAATAATCAATTTTATCTTTTATTGGTGCAGTGGTTATGGCACCGGTCCTTTAACCGAAGGGTCTCGGGTTCAAACCCCGGTCAGGTCACTATAAAAATTATATTCAATATTATTATAACTTAATATACAATACTAATAAATATTATACAAGTAATTTTCAAATATTCGTAATATTCGATATTAAAAAAAAAAAAAAAACTAAGAAAAATAAACAGTAAATATTAATAACCTCAAATAATTTATATAAATAAAACTACGGCAGGCTAGTCACCTACCTAGTTAAACTCTATGACGCTATGAAACTATTGCATGAGAAATCATGCACTAGCCCTATGCTCCTTCTAGGAGTGAACAAAGGAAAAAAAAAAAATAATCAATTTATTTACAATAAAATCGAAAGCTGGAGAATTTAAGTTAAGAAAACGTCACATTGTAGAAACTTGCTAAAGATAGACAGTGAATTTTTATTGAAAATTTGCCTTACCTCAAATTTTTAATAGACAAAAGCTTCCGTAAAAAATATGTGATATTAACATTTAACAACCTCAACATTACGCCTTTGAAATTACTGTGTGAGAGCGCTAGAACTATAAATCAATACGAATCAAACCAATCTAATCTAGTCATGGCAGGACACTGAGTGAAGCGCAAATTTTAAATTTTTTAACATATTTTTTAATATTTTATCTTTAAAAAATGTTAAAATTTCTTATAACTTAGAATTACGAAATCCCTTATTTTCTAAGAAACTACTATCAAAATTAATTCAATTATTCCCCAATTCTAATTTGCGAGAAGTTTAAAATAAATAAACAAAAATCTCCTTCGAATCATCAGAATACGAGTAAAAAAAAATAACATTTTATTTTTAATTAACAGGAATTGCTTATAGTTATTTGTTTGTTTTTATTAATAAATTTCAAATTTAAAAGGTTTTCCCTTCACTTGGTATATTTTTGTAATAATTCACATTAATTTTCAAATGTTTACACTTTCTTACCTCTGAACTCTTAAGCAAAGTTTCATAATTATTTATTAAAACTCGTACCTTATTTGAAATCTTATAATTTTCATAAGAATTTTGAATTCATCATCAGCTTGTTCATCATGTATTCATCACGGATTTACGAGTTATTTTTCTTTGATTTCTGTTTTGTTTCTTCATTTTCTTATACTTACACGTATATTGTGTGGTCTCAGCATCTCAAAGATCTAATTACAAGAACAATACTAAAAACAAAAAAAAAAATAGAGCAAGGATCAGCATAACAAAAAAAATCAAAGCATTGTTTTTTAATTTTTTTATTCTTCTTTGTTTTTCTTATGATTTTATTTTTCAATATAAACAAATGAATTGCTGGTATTACCGATAAGTGCAGAAGAATTGAAAAGGAATCAAATTTTAAAATTTACCTTTAATATACCGTAATAGCATTTTTAATTTTTATTTATTTTTATTTTCTGGGTATACACTACATGTATGTAATATGTATGTATGTAGATATATATGTTTGTTTATTTATGACTAATTTTTTTTTCACCGCTGCTATTTTGGCACGTTCAATACGAACGGTAAACTGTACGAATATTTACTAAAATTTATTGAAGTTTGACATCAAATGATGGTATGGCAGGAGTATAACAGCACAGAATGCATTAAGAGGGTCGCTTCTTTGTATTTGATTAAAATAAATTTTTTTTTTTCTGTTTTTAATTTTTTTTTTTTTGCTCTTGGAATCATAATCACTTTTGTTGCATTATTACACGAAAACCCGCTTATTATTGTCAAAGATAGTTTGAATATACGAAATTTATATATATTTGTATATAAGTCTAATACAATATGTGAACATGTGGGCTTCAATAGAATTTTTAATATTAAAATTTATAATATGCTCAATATTTGAAATTAAATATTAAAATTGAAAATTGAGCTGGAGTTAAGGTAGAACAGTTTTTTGTTTTCGTTTTAAAAGCAGAGCAATTAAGTAATAAAAAATAATAAGAAAATATGTAAGCACGTATATGTTTATGTATGTATATGTATATATTTGGACATATCGATATGCAACTGTATGATATTTGATGCTTTGATGGTGTTGTATTATAAGGTGTTATTTTAAATAAAGATGCCGCACGTTATAAAACTATCGTTTGCAATTTAAGAATAATTCTTTTGAAAAATAAAATTAAGATAAAATTTTACTAATAAATAAAAATAAATATTAATTTAAAATGAAAAAAATCTTTATTACTGTTAAGAACTCATGGTTGAACCGTTAAATTCAACTATTAAGTAGTCCGGGTAATGATAGAATTACGTACATTCGTGCGCATTAGTCCAAAGGGAATAAATGCCAGTAAAGCATTTATTGTTTAAATGTTTTAACTAAAGACAAAATGACAGGAGGAGGGGGT